CGGTGGTATGAGTCCGGCCCACACTCGGACCCAGGAGCCCTGCCGCTCCCGGAGAACTGGCTGCCTGACAATTTTATTTAATCTTTTAAAGAACCAACTCTTAGGGGCTGGGGATTTAGCTCAGCGGCACAGTGCCTGCCTGGCAAGCGCAAGGTTGTGAGTTCAATTCCCAGTACCGGCGGCAGCGGGGAGAACCAACTCCTCGATTCATTCTTTGTACCTTTTTTTTTAGTCTCCACTTTGTTAATTTCTGCTCTGATGTTTACAATTTCCTCCCCCATACAAGCTTTTAGCTTAGCCTGCTGTTCTTTTTCTCCAAGTTTGAGGTTCACCATTAGGTTATTTGCATTTGCTCTGTTTTCCTGATATCAGTATTTACTGCTATAAAAATCCCTCTTAGGACTGCATTTATTGTGTCCCATAGTTCTGGTATGTTGTATTGTCATTATCATTTAATTGTAGAAACTGTCCAATTTTTTACCTTAATTTCATCTGTGACCTGTGGGTTGTTCAGGAGGGTGCTATTTAATTTCCATGTGTTTATGAAGTTCTTGTAGTTTCTTTTGCAGTTGATTTCCAATTTCCTTGCACTATGATCTGATAATATGCATGGGATAATTTCAGTTCCTTTGCATTTACTTAAACATATTCATGTTCTAGGGGCTAGTGTATGGTCTATTTTAGAGAAAGTCCTGTGTGCAGCTGAGAAGAATGTGTATTCTGATGTTGTGAGGTAGAATACTCTTGAGACATCTAATAAGGGCATTTGTTCAAAAATTTAGTTCACTTCTGATATTTCATTGTTGATTTCTTTTTTTGTCTAGTTTTTTGTCTTTTTGTGATAGTGGCATAGAGAGTCCCCAATACAATTGTATTAGTGCTTATTTGATTTTTCATGCCCATTATTTTTTTTTGTCTCTGAGACAGGGCATTGCTATGTAGTTCAGGCTCACCTTGAGCTCACTTTGTAGCCCAGGCTGGTCTCAAACTTGCAATAATCCTCCTGCTTCAGCCTACCAAGAGTTGGTATTACAGTCGTGCACTACCACACCCAGCAATATTTGTTTTATATAGTTGGGTGCACTGGTATTTGTTGCATATATATTTATGATTGTTACCTTTTCCTCTTGGATTGTTCCCTTTACAAGGATGTAGTAATCTTCTTTATCTCTCTTAGTCAGTCTTGGCTTGAAATTTACATTGGCTGAAAATAGCTTAGCTACCCCTGTATTTTCTGGATTCCTGTCTTATGGAGTATTGTTTTCTATCCTTTGACTTTCAGTCTGTCAATTTCTTTTTGAATTAAATGTGTTTCTTGTATGCAGTATATTTTTGGATCTTGCTTCTTGATCCATTCCACAGGTCTGTGTCTTTGGTGAATTGAGACCATTAACATTGATGGTTATAACTGATATATATTGACTTATCCTTTTCGTGTTATTTTTTCTGTTATTGGCTCCTGCCTTTTTCCCCTTCTGTTTAATTATTTTCCTTGCCTAGTGGATTCCTTCTGTTGGGGTTCATGGCATTGTAGTCCTTGTTATCTCTTTCTAGAATGTCCTTCAAAACATTTTGGAGTGCTGATTTGGTGGTCATAAATTTCCTCAGATCCTTTTTCATGATAGTATCTTATTTCTCCACCAGTGTTGAAAGATAGTTTTGCAGGGTACATCAATCTGGGCTGAAAGTTGTTTTCCTTTAGAACTTGAAATACTTCAGTCCACGCTTTCCTTAACCTGAGGGTTTGTGTTGAGAAGTCAACTGTGATGGGCTTTCCTTATTTATAGGATTTGTTTCTTTTCCCTAATAGCTTTTAAGATTCTATTCTTACGTTGAATTTCTGAAATCTTGTTTATGATATGCCTGGCTGTAGATTTTTTTTTTTGATTGCAGCTAATCGGATTTCTATATGCCTCACTTACTGTGTCAAATTCTTTTTCCCTACCAGGGAAGTTTTCTGCCATGACATATGTGAAGTTTTTTTTTTTTATATCATTTATCCTATCTCCTACTCTTTTGTTGACTCCAGTTAATCTTAATTACTCTTTTTTGCCTTATCTAGCAGCTGCTGGATTGATTTATCATGGTCCCTTGCTATTTTTAAGAAATCTTTCTTTTCATGATTGCTAACAGCAAGCCTGTTTTCTACATCTGAGATCCTGGCCTTACTGTAGCTTAATCTGCTGCAGATACTTTCAGTGGAATTTTTATTTTCCTGGATATCTGCTTGAATCTGCCTTATGGACTCCATTTCTTTCCTGTGCTGAGCATTCATGGCTTCCATAATTTCCTTAAGCTCCTCTTTTTTTTGTCTGTATCTACTCTAGAGCTACTAAGCATGATTTTCATTGTGGACACCATCTCTGCAGTTATCTGAGAAATTATTTCTGATTTGAATTTTTCTAAAGCCTTATTCAGTTGTTTTGTTGTTACCACTTCAGAGAGTCCAGGTGGGTGGCTTTGGGATTGTCCCACCTCATTGTCCCCTGGGTTTGCCTTTGGTGAATTGGATGTCTGGGGCTGCATCTTGTTTAAGTGTCTTCTCATTTTCTTTTCCTTTTTTTAGTTTAATTCCTGGGGTGATGCTTGTAAATTGCCTATGGTGGGTTGCTAGTATTTAGAACCCTTAGGAAATGACTCCTCCTAGAGATCTTCCAGGTGTAGCTGGTTTTTGGGTTTTGAGTCTGTTGCAAGACCCTGTCTCTCCAATTTGTTGGAGATAAGAAGTGGCTGCCTATTTAGCCAAGCGCCTGGTTCTTTGGCTCTGTGCCACAGTATTTTCTGTGATCCTTAGTCAGTTCAGTGCAAGAATACCAGGAAGTATAGCTGTTTAAAACATTGTCACTTTTGGCTAAAGTAGTACCATCAGCAATGACAGTAGCATCAAATACAGCCTAGAAAGTGACAAACTGAGCTAACCATTAATTTGCCACCTTTTACCAAATGAATTAGATTTGTGGTTATATAACAAAATCTAAACCCAGAAAATTATAAGCAGTATACAAGTCCTTAAATGTCACTTTTGCCCTCAGGGGTTAAAATTTAAAATGGGTTAGGAAAAAAATAGAAAAAGTGGAACAAGAGGAAGTGATTAGAAGTAATGCTGGAGGATAAAGGGGGATCACACTAACCTTGGAAAACTGGTACAGAAGACTGGAAGGAAAGAGAAGGAAAAGATAAAAGGAACAGAACAGAACCATAACCACAAAGAGGCTATAAAGCACATTCACACTCATAAAAACAAGATCAAACAATAAAGGAAAAGAACCACAACAAAAAACAAACAAGAGAGAGAGAGGAAAAAAATTAAGTTGGTAGACAGCCTGCAAAAACAGGAGTCCTGATCCGTGTTGATTTATCCCAGCAAGCCTGTACCTTCTGGCCAAAACCAGACTCAGTCAGCCTGCAGCCATCCGCACAACTTCTGTGGGCCTGAGCCCAGCTGGGAGCCCCTAGATGGAGCCAGCAGCCACTCTGAGTTCTGAACTCAGTTAGCCCCTCTCTAAGATGGCTCCTGGCCAATTGCTGTCTAGCGTGGAACAACTGAGCACGTAGCACTCACAGCTAGCTAGTGCAGTCCTCCACATCCACTGCCCCCCTCCACTGCTGCATCTCTCCATGGAGGTCTCTAAGAGGTCACCAGCAGTCACCATGTGGCACCAGGTTTGAACTACTTCTCTCACACAGTGAGTCCCATCTCAGGGAGAAGGCACCACAGGCTACCTCCTTCCTGGATGAAAGCCTTTAAGTGCAAGCATTCTTCATACAAGGTGAAATTGTCATCATGAGAGAGAGACTGAACCAGAATTTCCTGGATTAAAATTTATCATTTGAGCTCAACCCAAGCTGGAAGAAGTTTGCTTTTCTTGTTGTGCCTAGCCCGGAGGCCCCCCTTAACATTTTTTATTTATATGTGGATTTTTTACAACTTACTCATTTATCTTTCTTTTTGGTGATCTGAAGTTTTTGTGAATTTTACATATCAGAGGCACTAAAGACTATGAAATTGTTAACTAATCTAAAGCCTTTATAAAGCAACCCACAGCAAGACTGACTAAAGGAAAGTACTTTCAGGATAAATAATTGTTTGAATTAACAGCCTATGGTTGTCATATTTACCTCAGAATTTTGCTTTGGAGGGAGAGGGATCTAGCCAAAAAACATTTACTCTGCAGTATGATAACTGGCAGGTAAGATAGTGATCTTTCTAATTTCAGTCTTTCTACCTGTTTTGAGGATTCATTATGGTAGTTATAAATGTGTTAGGTTTCTTAATGTTTTCTTTTTTATATTTATTATAAAGATAATATGAAAAGTATTAAAATATTTAGAGAATAGAAGGGGAATATCTATCATTTAACCTCCTTACTGCAAGAATAACTTCTGTCATAGGACAGTTCCTTTTTTACTTGGCTGTATATGTATATTGCTATATTTTTCACAAGTGTGCAGATTCTAGTATTAGACCAATGTGAATCAAGTAGACCTGTATAGCATGAAGATTTTCCCCTTTGTTAGAAGTGAATATAGTCATGATTTGAACACGTGAAAATTATTGTTCAAGATTAATAAAATTATACTGGGTGTACATTAAAACTTTATTATTTTCCTTTTAGTTATCCAAGCATTAGGTGAACATCTTAAATTAAGACAACAAGTTATTGCCACTGCCACGGTCTATTTCAAGAGATTCTATGCCAGGTAAGACCTTTGTTTTGGGAATGTGTTTTGCCTATGTGAAGTTCCTTTTTAATGCTCATAAACCTTAGTATAAATGAATCAGTTCCTAACCATAGATTTAGTGTGATATTTTTCCCAATGTATTCTCTAAATGAGTGACATTTAATTTTGTTTTATCACATTTTAGGTATTCTCTGAAAAGTATAGATCCTGTATTAATGGCTCCTACATGTGTGTTTTTGGCATCCAAAGTAGAGGTATAAACAATTTTCTGTTCATCATAGTACAGTCAATATATATTGGTGAATCTGCTCCAGCTTTTACACTACTGTATTTAAAGATAATAATAGATAGTAATTTATGCTTAATATTGAAATTGTACAAATTCAAAGATATATATATATACATACACGTATTTTTATTTTATATATTTATTTAGCAAACACATATCACTATGTATCCACTGCTTTACTAAGTCCTTTTATGAATACTGACTTAATTCTCAAAACTCTGGAATATATAGTAGTAGTATCCCCATTTTATAATGAGGCAACTGTTTAAAGTAGGCATGGTAGCCCACGCTTTTAATCCCAGCACTCGGGGGCTGAGACAAGAGACTTGCCATGAGTTCAGCATTGGCTATATAGTGCATTCAAGGCCAGCCTGAACTGCATAGCAAGAGGCTATCTCAAAAAAGTTTATTTAAGGTCATTCAGTTAGTAATGGCAGTGCCAGTCTTTGAACCTTAGGAATCTAGCTCCTAATCTTGTGTTCTTAACTGCTTGGCTGTGCTGCCTATAAGACATTGTTTGTCACACAACAGTATTTATTATGTATCACAGCTTGTCTCCAATAACCTGAGACTGTTCTACCTCTATGCGTCCTATTTCCTACTGTCTTCTTCCCTGCCTCCTGATGTTTGGCTGCCAAGCCCTAGGAAAAGCAAAATAGAAGGCCAAGACTGGGAAAGGCTATAGCCATATAGATTTTAACAAGGAAAAGTTTGAATAGTGAGGATAGAAAAATAAAATGAAAAGAAAAAAGGTAGGAACTAGGATATGAGACTGAATAGCTGTTCAGTTTACCTTTGCAGTATTTTTGAGACAGCTCAGTTCTTAACTAAAATCCAAACAATAATAGCAAATTTTATGAAAATTGACTGTTTTCTTTAGTGTTATAAAACCCTTGTATTATGTTTTTCTTTTTGGATAATGTCTTTAAAATAGTAATTGTATTCTAGAATATCAAATCTGATTTTAAACTAGTTTACATTCCTTTTGTACCCATTTTGTTTTAGTTTTATTGTAGTCATTATTCAGGATTATCCATGATATCTTTCTCAACAATTACATAAATAATGAGATTGATTATACTAGAAATAATATTAAGTGGTAGGCGTGGTGTTGCACTCCTGTAATCCCAGCATTTAAGAGGCTGAGGCAGGAGGATCACCAAAAGTTTGAGGCCAGTCCTAGCTACATAGTGAACTCAAGGCCAGCCTGAACTACGCAGTCAGACCCTATCTCTAGAAAAAAAAAAAAAGTAGTTTTCTAGAGGTTTTTTATCTCTGTGACCAAATTTTTGTTTTGTTCAAATGTATGGAAATGATATACAAATTGTCGTTAAGATATATCAGGGTGTTTTTTTTCTTTTTTTTTTTTTTTTGGTCTTTTTTGAGATAGGATCTCACTATGCGGTTCAGCCTGGCCTCCAACTCACTTATGTAGCCCAGGCTGGCTTCAAACTCACAATGATCCTCCTGCCTCAGTCTCCCAAGTGCTGGGATTACAGGTGTGTGCCACCATGCCTGGCTATATCAGGCTTTTAATTTTTATTTTCACTTAGCTGTAGTTGGAAGTTTAAACGCAAATTTATACATATATACATTCACCCTGAATAGGATAGGAATATAGGGTGAAAGTATTGAAATAATTTTTAGTTTAATTTCTTACATTGGATAAGCAACCAATTCTTAATTTTTGCTTTAATTATCTTTACGGTGGTAGCACTATATATTAGGTTGAAAGAAGAAATGGGAATGAACTTTAGAAATCTTATATTATTCTCTCTGTTATATAAAAATACAAATCTTATATTATTGATCTCTGTTCCCAAAAAGATAATAGGTGTTTGTATGGTCTTTTGAGTTCTTTTAGTGATATTAAAGTTTACCTTAGTCAAAACTACATTTTATTATTAAATAGATACATAAAATATCTATTAGTCAAAGTTCAATGGAATAAGAAGCATACTTAATATTTATTCTTACAGATAAGTAGAATCTAAACAACCTTTAAGGGGCTGGGGATTTAGCTCAGCGGCACAGCGCCTGCCTGGCAAGCGCAAGGTTGTGAGTTCGATTCCCGGTACCAGAAAAAAATAAAATAAAATAAAATAAAAAATAAACAACCTTTAAGCACAGAAAATTGGCATTGTCACTTTTGGTACCTTTTAAGGTTAAATTATAAAATTATTGTTATTAAATTATAAATTATATTGTTTAAAAGTTCATCTTAAGTGGTGACAGTTTTAAGCAAAAGTAATACACTTAGAAACTTAAGTACTTCTTGCCTCAAACAGGTAGAAACTGAAGAGATTACAAATGCAGGGGAAGTGTTTTGTTTTGAACAGACCAAGCACCTGCAGGTTAACAAATACTGAGTCAGCGTGTACCTCATTTCATCTGCTTTTTTGTACACAGGAATTTGGGGTAGTCTCAAATGCAAGACTGACTGCTGCTGCTACTTCTGTATGTAAGTGCAAAAAGCATATCCTGCTTTCTAAAGAAAGTTCCATAATATATTGATGTTTTTTAGTTTATGAGACATGTCAGAGATCAGTTGTGGTTATTTACAGCTCTCAAGAATACCTGTATGACTAGCACATTTGGCAAAATATAAAATTAAAAAAGAAGCTTTATGTAACCAGTTAAATTATTACCTTTAAGATATTCTTTTTAATGTTAAAAATGAGGGCTGGAGATATAGCTCAGCGGCACAAGCGCCTACTTGGCAAGTGCAAGGTCCTGAGTTTGATTCCCAGTATCCACCACCACCAAAAAAAATGAATAGTAGTTGTCCAAAATCATCAATTTAGTGCCTCTTATTTTATAAAGGTAAAGAAAAATTTCATTTCCTAATTTTGTTGTATTTTATTATTTCCTAATGACTAGCTGTTATTTCATCCTTGTGGGTTAACTATTTCTTTTGCAACTGTTATGTATGCCTTTGATGGGAGTTTTACATTTTGAAACCTCCAAACCGAAGAATATGGTATAGAAAAAAAAAAATGCTGCATCTCTAGTCAGTCAAGCTAACTTTTAAGCCGTAGTTCTGTCTCAGTAGCTGTGTTCTCCGCTTGGTGACTTAGTTTTTATCTGAAAAAATGGGGATTAGTTATCTGTGAATCATGACATTAAAGAAAATAACATTGTAAAATAACAATTAGTCAATATCTATACATCAGAATATGTTATGCACCATCTTTACAGATTCAGAAATAAGGCATTCCCTAACCAAAAACAGATCAGACTTTAAAATTATTTCTGTGATCTATATAGGAGAAGTAGAAGATGATATTTTGTGTTTTAAGCCATGCTGGTATTTGTATTTTGGAATCATTCCCCTTTTTGAGTGGTGTATAATAATCCAGTATTTTCCATGTCATATCTTTTTTTTTTTTGGTTTTTCTCCGGTACCAGGAACCGAACTCATGACCTTGCGCTTGCCAGGCAGGCACTTTGCTGCTGAGCTAAATCCCCAGCCCCTCCATGTCATATCTTAAATCTTAATCCATACCATTTTGAGGAGATGGAGGATTGATCATTAACACTGGCTTTTCATTTGTATTTTATTATACCTTTTGATATAATAGATACAAAAGTTCAGAAAGGATAGATTAATTTAAAAAATTGTTACGTCTTAGAGTAACCACTAACATTTGGGGGGATATTATCCTTTCATCCTATAACTTTCTACAAATATATAGCATTTGTAAACACTTAGAAGAAATGACCCCTGCATTACTGAAGAATAGAATAGTCACAGTCAGTGATTTTTTATTTTCAATCTTTTAATTTATTGTTCTAAGCAGAATTCTTAGCCGGGCATGGTGGTACATGCCTGTAATCCCAGCACTCGGGAGGCAGAGGCAGGAGGATCTTTGTGAGTTCGAGACCAGCCTGGGCTACAAAGTGAGCTCAAGGCCAGCCTGAACTACACAGTGAGACCCTGTCTCAAAAAGACAAAACAAAACAAAAAAAAAATCTAAGCAGAATTCTTTATGAATCTCTCTCATTGTATCGGTGAAGGCATACAGATTCCTGACATCCAGTCTTTTTCCTCCTCTGAAAACAAAAATCTAGATCCTTAAGTGTTGTCAAGGGCGTCTACTTGAAAATGATTCAGCCTTACCCTCTAATATTCTGCACCAGGGGTGGTGAACCGTTTAGAGCTTTCAGTGATGAAAAGTTGGAACATGCATACTATAGGTTCACTACCACTGTTCTATACTATGTTAAAGGAATCTTGGTTTAATTCACTTCTACATTTTTCTGTATTAAATTGTTGTTGTTTGTTTTCTGCAGTAAAAACTAGATTTTCATATGCCTTCCCGAAGGAATTTCCTTATAGGATGAATCATGTAAGTATATTGTGTAAAATAAAGCACTTGTCAAAACTATATATAAATTAGCTCCATTTTATGTTAGAATAAACTTAACAGTCTCCTAGAAATGGCAGTTTTAAATACCATGGGAATATAGATATTATTATACTCATGTAGACATTCATGTCATTTATATTACATTTGTAGACATTCCTATTCATATTTTCATATCATTAATTTATATTATTAAAGCTATATAGCTTCTATTTCTTAAAAATACTTTATAGTAGTGGCTAGCAACCGTGGCAGCCCATTAATCACCTTAAGAACTTTTTTAATGATACTTACATTGAGACTTCTCCATACAAACTAAAGCAGAGTTTTCAGGAATCTCTGGTGTTAATATTTTCTAAAAGCTCCCAGGTGATGGGGATGTAGCTCACTGGCAGAGCTCTTGCCTTGCACATGCAAGGGCATGTGTTTGGACCTCAGCACTGGAAAAAAAATGTAAAATAAGGCCGGGCATAGTGACACACACCTCTACTCCTAGCTACTTGGGAGACTGAAGAGATTTGTAAGTTTGAGACTAGCGTGGGGAAGTTACTGACATCTTGTTTTAAAAATAGAAGTGAAAAGATCTGAGGATGTAGCTCAGTGCAGGTCCCTAGGTTTAATCCCCAGTAGCACAATAAATAAATATCTGAAGTTTTTCCAGAACATTTTAAATAAAAGTGAGTAGTGAGAATGCCAGGGGTAGGGATGTAACTCAGTGGTAGGGTGTGGGCTTAGCATATATAAGACCTTGGTTTTAACCCAAGCAAGACCGCACCCCCAAAAAACTGCTTTTAAGAGGCTTATTTTTCCTTTTAAGGATTTAAATGCTTTATAATCATAATTTTATGAATTACATAAGAACTGATTTATTATCTATATTTGTTATGTTACTATTTTCTTGATTTAAATTGTTTTTAGTAAATGTGTGATAAATTAATGTCTATAAGTTGTGTTACAGAGTAGAGTCATGTAATTGGCACTGATAATGTTTTTCTAACAGATACTAGAATGTGAATTCTATCTTTTAGAACTAATGGTAAGTGTGGTTTTTTTCTTATGACTAATAAAATATATTTTTAAAGTTAATGAATTCAAATTATTTAATGAACTGATTTCTAGGGAAGTATATTTTAAAACTATCTAAATGGTGTGTCATGTGATGGTGAAATCATAATGACCTAGTAACATCATCACCTGTCTCCTCTCTGAAGCCTATAAAATCATTTGCATATCCTACTCAGGATGGAAAAAGTTTTCTGTTCTATGGTAACTGTAATAGAGGATTATAAGCAAACAAGTCAGGACATTAAGCCACTATAAATAATGTACACAGTTTGTGTATGTGTGTGGTATTATTTAAAGATAGATTGTCTTTGGTGGAATTCTGTTCCTCCAGTTGGGAATTACGGATTTATAGGCTAATAAGAGGTTTCAGTGTGTTGCAGATGTGACACTTTGAGTCTCTAAGGGAATGAATGGATGCTGACTGACTGCCAACCGATTTACCAAGGTATATTTCAGAGAGAGCCCTGCTTTCTCTATTACAGTAGAGTTTAGGGCTGCCACAGGGCTTGCTTAAGAGGCTAGAAAGGAAGCAAGCATGAGTCAGAGAAATTCATTTTGAAATACACGATTACAAATCAGTTGGGTAATGATAACGTTTTTGTGTTGTAATAAATCTGTTTTTATACATACACATTTTTTAAACTGTTTCTAGGATTGTTGCTTGATAGTGTATCATCCTTATAGACCTTTGCTCCAGTATGTGCAGGACATGGGCCAAGAAGACATGTTGCTTCCCCTTGCATGGTAATTAGAACAGAAGTTATTAATAGTGTGACACGTTAATCAGACAGGGAGGCTAACTACTAAATGTGAAGCTCAGTATTTTTAAAGTCATTAAACTAGTGCCCCAAGATATTTCATGTTGAGCAGAATACCTGTCTGTTGAATTCTAGTAACTATGGTTATATAAATGCTCAAATAATAAGCACTGTATATTATTTTTTTGCTAAATATACCTGGTAAAATTTGATTTGTATGAAAAGACTGTTCACATAAAAATTAGAAGTGAATTTATCTTTAACAGCATATTTCTGTAGTATTCACCATACATATAAATTTTTATATTCTTTTTTTTTAACTTGATTTTCAAATTCTTAAAAAAATTATCGGCCGGGTGTGGTGGCGCATGCCTGTAATCCCAGCACTCAGGAGGCCTAGGCAGGAGGATGGCCATGAGTTTAAGACCAGCCTGAGCTACATAATGAGTTCAAGACCAGCCTGAACTGCTAGTGAGACTCCGTCTCAAAAAAAAAAAAAAATTACAAATGTATTTAATTTATATTATAATTATGAAGTTTCAGAACTTCAGATATATTTTATTCATTATATGTAAAATCTCTATTCAGTAATGTGTACCTACTTGTTGTCACATTTGTGCATCTACCCTTTTGCCCTGATATTTTCCTCTCTGTAGCTGTGCTCAGTAATGGAAAAGGGGGAAAAGTGTGTATAAAGTTGGGGAATCTGGCCGTCTCTGGGAGGAAATGTACAATCAGATAAAGTAGTTCTGCTTTCAGTAATAATATGGTTTACATTCCCATAGGAGGATAGTGAATGATACCTACAGAACGGATCTTTGCCTACTGTATCCTCCTTTCATGATAGCTTTAGGTATGTAAGCATGGTGTGCCTTTATTATTTAAATTGTTATAAACCTATGTAAATCATCAGAAAATAAATTTCATTCTATTCTTACTTTGTTTTTATGTTCCATGAAGTAATAGACTAATCCTTGCATGTGAACTTTCTGTAATATGTACTGCAACTGTCACAAATCAGTATTGCCTACCCCACCCCCCTCTTTTTGGCAAGTTTATGTTTTTTTTAATCTTTTAAAATAATTTTAATCTGTCTAAATAGAACATTTTTCATTTGCTTATGGACAGCCCAGAGTTATGCCTGCTAATATTAGTTATATTAGCTTATATCTGGGCCTCTTTTTCAATTCCTGAGCCGAGTTAAGTACTCAGGGGTTGAGTAAACGAGTATCTTTAATCCTGTCTTGCTAGAAAAAGAGTTATCAACCATTTCACTGTGTAGGGAAGGCAGAGCAATAATGGGTTAGAGCTCAGTCTTTGGAGTCACATGGTTTTAGGGTTAAACTTTGGTTCTCTTATGATTATAAGGAAAGTATTTAACTTTGCTGAGTTTGTTTCCTTTGTGGATACTAATAACTTCAAATAGAGTATGTCATTTCATGAGTTAAATGAGATAGCCTGTAGAGTACTAAATAATGCCTGCTATACCCTAAGCATTTGTTAGCTTCTGTGGCTTTTGTTTCTTCTGCGTTCATGACTCAATCCTGTTCACGTTTCCTGTTCTTTTTCTGGGCCAGATTTGTTTTTATTGGTTTTCTCTTTCAGTTATTCCTTAAATGTTGATAGTTTCAGCCTTCTTACATCAGGTATAACAAATAGGTATTACTTATACTTCTGTAGCACTGGCAGCTCTTACAAAGTACTGCACATGGAGAGATTCTGAAGTAGTGCCTGGGGGCAGTGGGAAGAAGTGCTGGGATCCAACTGGTAGAAACAGGAAGGAGGGGATAATAGGACATGTGCCATGGCTTTGCCATCCCTGTGGGCTTTATTCTTTTTAGGTAGTCTCTCTGAGGCGTCTACCTTCTCTTACATTCCAAAACGTTTAAATCTACTTATTTAGCTAAGATCTTGCTCCTAGCATTTCTTTATATCCATGACTAGTACACAGCAAAGGAACAGATGTCAAGAACCTTAATGTAGTCTGGTAATTTTTTTCCTACCCATTTCAGATGAAATTAATGAGATGTTCAACGATAACCCCTAAATGTAGCTATACAAATGTTTAAAATACTATTAGAAAATGTACATGAAGTGTGTAAGAACCTTTAGTTCTAAGACCATGTTTGTAGTTAAACATGAGCAGTTATCACTCATTTTCTTTGCAGCTTCTCTACACGTAGCCTCTGTGGTACAGCAGAAAGATGCCAGGCAGTGGTTTGCCGAGCTTTCTGTGGATATGGAGAAGGTATTCCTTAAGTTATTTTACCTTAGACATTTAAAAATTCATGTCATTTTTATGTCATGAGCCTAAAATCATAAGCTGTCCATCACACTAAGATTATTGGTAAAAAAGTACTAAACGTGTCCAGTGAGAAGAGTTGTTGATGGGTTGTTTTTGGCCTAGGATTAAGTAGAAACTCAAAGTAACCTCTGACTTCAGGGATTATCTTAAAAGCTTCATAGTGACCATTAAATACTAGTGTGAATTTTTGTAACATAGTCTTTCCCTAAAAAAATTATGTTTTCTGCTCATATGTTGAAAATATTAAAATTAATCCAAGACAGGATCTGCTCAGGTCAGGAAGAAAGGGCTAATTTGGAAACTGAATTGACAGGTTGCAGCTGCCACTTCATCTTAATTTACGTGTACAATAATTAAAAGAATCAAAACAATGTCTTGTATCACTACCTCCCCTTAAATTAATTAATTATTTATTTATTTATGTATTTTTGTCTTTTTGAGACAGGGTCTCGCTATAGAGTTCAGGCTGACCTTGAGCTCACTTTGTAGCCCACGCTGGTCTCAAACTCACAACGATCCTCCTGCCTCAGACTCCCGAGTGCTGGGATTACAGGTGTGCGCCACCACACCCAGCTTGTTTTCTTTTTTTAGAGAGGGGTCTCACTGTGTAGTCCAGGCTGGCCTTGAACTCAAAGCAATCTTCCTGCCTCAGCCTCCCAAGTGTTGAGATTACAAGCATGTGCCACCATTGCCCAGCTTCCCTTTAAATTATTTTTGAAACAGTTGGTGTTAGGGGAATATGCTCTGTTGTAGCAGATCCCTTCATGATTAGAATCTTTGTTTTTAGTACCTTACTGTTTTGTTTAGTTTAAGATGTCAGGAGTGAAGGGAAAACGTCTGACACAGGTAAGGATGGATGGGGCACATATGTTGAAAGATATAATGCTAAGAGGAAAAGCCTAGGCAGCAGGAGGGTGAAAAATACTGCCTTCAAATTTGTTGAGATTGACTAACCTAACCAGAGTACTTATGGACAGAGACTTTCTACTGTTTTCTGAAGGCTGCCTTGCATGTGATATTTGTTCTTTACTTACTAAATATTGCTGGTTTTGCCACTGAGAATTTTTCAAATATTTTCTTTTAGATTTTGGAAATAATCAGGGTTATTTTAAAACTATATGAGCAGTGGAAGAATTTCGATGAGAGAAAAGAGATGGCAACTATTCTTAGTAAGATGCCAAAACCAAAACCACCTCCAAACAGGTACTTTGTAGACATTTAATTATTGATCTCATTTTATATATTGTATTCATTTCTTATCTTTCTTAGATTGTTATTTTTGTTTTGTTTTTTTTTTTCTTAAAACTTCTACCAGAACTTAATAATTCATGTTAATTTTTTAAATTTGTGACTTGACAGATTGAAAATGTCTTATTTTAAAAAAACATCAATCTGATCATGTATTTAGTAACTTACTGGAGGTCTATTACAGGTATCCCTCAACATATAGCTACATCCTGTACATAAACTCAAGTAGTTCTGTAGCAGTTTGTCTCTGTGCCTTCCTTTTTTATTCCTTCTCCCCTACTACTGGCTATTACTCTAATTTATAAATTTCAGTAGCAGTTTTCAAAAATTTTGGTGAGTGATCTGATATGGTAAAGATAAAGAATTTTGGCTTTGAATGACCTTGTGATCCACAGCACACAATAACATAATTTTGCTAAATATGAATCACCTGTGCTAAGAGATTTGTTGTTGTTTTAAATGGAAGCTGTTTGTTTAATTCAGTGGTTCTGGGCCCTCGCTGTATTATCTATATATCAGATCATTTGGGGTAGGGAAAAGGTGAGAAGGAAAAACAAATGCTACCCATCTTAATCATTTAACTAGAGAGATAATCCTACGACATTAACATAGATTTATGTATTGCTACTGATTAGGTTAATGTTAGAATTTGGAAAGGAATAATACTTATACAAGGAGCTGTTTAAGGCAGCCATTCAAACAGCTACCTTTGGATGCATTTTTTGCAGAAATTCCCTGAGTGATTCTCCACTAGTGGCAGGGCCTGAAGCTGCAAGATGATGGTGGAGAAGATAAGGCAATAATCCTATTGCCACATTTACTGGTATTTTCAGCTTTAGTTGTTATTTTAAATATTCAGTATTTCACAGGAAATTACCATTTTTTCTAACTTATAAAAGTTTGCTGTAATGACATATGATTTTATTATGCCATTGTACAACCTTTTTTTTTTTTGAAAAAACACTTGATTTTCCTGAGTAGTAGATATAGGATTTTATATGTTAAATTTAATTTTATAGGAAATTTGTTCAGAAAAGCTGTAATCTATGTTGAGTGATACCTGTAATAACAGTGAAACCCCATACTCTAATTTAAATTTTTTCAGTGTATGTGGACACTAACTTTCAGACTGCTTGTTATGTGTGAGGGTACAAAGTTACATAAGAATAAAAACATAAAACCAAACGTTAGTCTTCTGGATTTTAATTTTTCCACATCAGTGTCTATTATCTGGAATATTTTTGTTTTGTAGAGTTATGCCACAAAATAATGAACTTCAGAAATTAGTAAGCTTATCTGTACTAGAAATGAATCTTTTAATTAGTATAAAATCTCTTTCTTCCCCATTTGAACAGTGAAGGAGAGCAGGGTCCAAATGGAAGTCAGAACTCTAGCTACAGCCAATCTTAAAACATTCCGAAGAATTCCATAGTGGACCTCTTGGAAATAAACCATTGGACAGATTTCAGTAATGTCTTCCGTGGAACACAAATGAAAATGAATAGCTTGTTTCTGTCAAGCAATCTTGGGAAGTGATTTTATTTTTGCAAAACAAGTTTTCTTTATCTAATTTGATTTTAGTACAGAATTGATTAAAATCTCTTCATTATAAACAGTTAGAAAGGTTCTGAGGGAACCTACAGACATACATAGGCACTTCGAAGTTAATAGCTTTTGCTTAGTATATTATTCTTAATTTGGATAAAAGAATTTGTAGCTTTTTATTAAGTCAGGAAACAAAACACAATTTGTTTAAAATTCTCTTTCATCATTGAGGGACCAAAAGAGGACCTAAAAAGTCAATATATGAGGTTTTTATCCCCTCAGTAGATTAAACTTTAAAACTATTTAAGGTATCAAACCTTACAAAATCCTAGAAATAATCAGGGAAATTAATCAAGTACCTATTGATTTTTTTACAATGTATTTTATTGAGTAGTTTTGGTATCTTGCCATGGAAAGTACTAGCCCAGTCTAGCAGAAGAGTGCAATATGTATAGCATAGTTTTGACATTTTAAAAGTTATATTAATTCCATAACCATTTTGAAATACTGGGCAAATTTTAAAAAGCAACCTACATTGAGTTATTTGCAGTTAACTAATATTAAACAGGCATTTTGAAAGTTTAATTGGATAAAACACCATAATGAAGTTAAAATTTGGTAAAATTTTAATGTTAATTTTTAATCTGCTGTGAAAAGTTTTTAAAATAAAATCAATATGCCCTAGTTTAATTTTGTGTGTTAGTGTGGATATACAAATTTACTGCAGGTATCCTGAGCCAGGAACACAATCAGGTTTCAGGCCAGTTTGATATTGGCTATTCGTAATTCTCCTGAGTGTAGGATTTCAGACTAAATGTTTTGTCAGTAGAACTGTGCTGTCTGTGAAAGGTAATAAATTAATCATTTTCTTCATACTTGAAGGAGAGTGATAAATAAAACTTGGAGTCATAGGATATTAATGTACAATTTAAGAATTAAAATTTTTTATAGCTTAATTGTGAACAATGGATTAGTCAATGTTGACTTCCTAGTATAAAATAAGAATAAAAGTAAATTCTCCAGCCATACTGACTAGTGTCTTGAATTCATTGTCTTGAATTTGTCCTATGTTGTTTTCTGAGAGTCTTTTCACCAGATAGGTATTTAAAGTTCTGTTTCCTTGTGGTGAGTACCAGGTGAGCTAGAAAGGGAGATGACAGGAGAAAACGAACGCTTCTCTGGCCTGAAGGAGTGAGTGTTGGCCATGGGTTGCATGGACAGAGTAACGATCACAGTTAACTATAACTGTAAATTTTTCCTTTAAATTTCCTTATATTCCTTTAAAAATTATATTTTTAAAATTAATACATATGACTTGTGGTTTTATTTGCAACTTTGATGGTGGAAAATCTAAAACAGTGTACAAGAGCAGAGAGCAGTGTAATGAGCCTCTATGTGCTTATCACCCAGATTCCATAATTACCCACTCATAGCCAGATTCATTCTGTCCAGTCTCCTTTCCACTACCCTAACTCAAATGTTATTTGGAAGCAAATCCCTGGCTTCACATTATTTCATCCATAAATATTTCAGTATGTACTCCTAAGAGATAATGGCTCTTCAAAAACAAACTGTATTAAAAAATAAATAAATAAAATAAAATTGGATAACACAAGAACTAAAAAAAAAAAAACTATATTGTGCCTAAAAATAATTACTAAAAACAGTTAAATATCAGAAACTCAGTTCGTTTTCAATTCTCTCATAAATATCATAATTGTTAACTAGTTTCTAGTCAAGATTTAAATAAGAACCAGACATCACACTTCATTTATAAATCTCTTTCAGTTTTTTTAAAGTTCATAGGTCCTCCATTTCATTTTTAAAATTTTCCTTTTTGGTTTACTTGTCCACTAAAAGTTTACCACAACCTGAGTTTTGCTGATTGTATTCTTGATGCACCATTTAACATTGTTTTCTTCTCTATTTTCTGTAGATTTGTAAATTGAATCTGCAAGGTTCATCATATTCACTTTTTTTAATGCACTACTGTGAATTTTTGTCTGTCCCTATAATTTATCATGCACTTCTGATGGGGGCTTTTTGTTTTGTTTTGTTTGAGACAAGATCTCACTATGTAGTTCACGCTGGCCTTGAACTCACTCTGTAGTCGAGGCTGGCCTCAAAACTTTTGTCAGTCCTCCTGCCTCAGCCTCTGATGTGCTGGGATTACAGGTACATGCCACCACAGCTGGCTGATGATGTATATTAGTAAAAATTAAATATTACCATCGGCTACACTGTCCAGTATGATAGCCGCTAGTCATTTGTGCCTTTTGAACATTTAAAATGTGAATAGTCTGAATTGAGATATGCTCAAATGTAAAAATACTGTACACACTGGATTTCAAGTACTTAGTATAAAACAAAAGAATTGTAAAATCTCTGTTTATAATGATTACATGTTTTAAATGCTAATATTTGCATATTCAGAAATAAATAAAACATTAAGATTAATTTTCCCTGTTTATTTTTTTAAATATAAGACAATTTAAAAACAGAGACTTGCACTGGACAGTGCTGCTATATCATAAGGAAAATGTTAGATCTGTGTCACAGTCTACCTACTTCTTATTCCCACTCCCCACTCTTTTTAACTTTGTAATTCTTCTGTTGTTGACTTCCACATTTGCATAAAACAAGCTCTTAATTATGGCATTTATTTGAGCATTTACTGTGTGCCAAGTGTGGTATGTACTCTGCATTTATTAAGCCATGTCTCAGAACTATCACTTCAGCGATGAAGAATCTCAGAACAAGGATAAGTTATTCACCCATTCACAAGGGAAGTAACAGATTATAGAGTTTAGATTATGTTCTAATTATTAAAACCTGGGCATTTGAGCTCAAAAGGTTGCCATATTTTCTCCTCTACTTTCTTTTTCCTTCTTATTTTTTAAAAAATTGTAAATCCTATCTACCAACTGCTTACTATAGAAGGTAAAGATTTTGTCTTCTCACACATCTGTCTGCCCCTTTCCTAGCCTGGCCCTTCATTAGCACTTCTGTCATTTTCTTACATAGTTTTTGTTAAATTCATATTCAGTATATATGAGGAGTACATAGAAAACGTAGATAAGTCTCTTCTGTGTATACTCTGATTAATTTCCTTTTAAAGTAATTTTATCTTTCTGGAATTAGTGTTTAACTTGGAATCAGTATTTAACTTTGATTTATTTTATATTTTCTATTAATTATCCCAGAGTCATCTATCATTATTTATTCCCCAGAATCATTTAGAGGGAGACATTTTTCCTGAGTCCTCCATCCTCTGCTCTGAACTGCCTGCTTTTTTAGGCCAAGTAGCACCACTGCCATTATAGAATTGACCATATTGAGACTTACCTTTGTTCTCTTATACAGTTACCCAAAATAGGAGGAATCTAAGTCTTAAGTAGCACCTGTTCTTGTTTGAGAGTACAATGTGTTCTTGTTATTCTAAGGATATTAATTTAGGTTTCTTGGTTCAATTTTTTCTTTTTTCCCTGTACTAACACTAATTGTTTCTTTTTCTATTTGATTTGTTCACAGTCTTTCAAGGTAGAATCGTGCCTTAATTGTAGGTCCTTTGATATCTGAGAGGCACAAAGCAAGATACTTAGAAGATCTCTGTGCATGAGTAGGACTTTTCAGTGGTGGGTTTCATTGTAGGGTAAGGGAGCAAGAAAACTTCCATTGGCCACCCTCCATTTTAACATAATTTTCTGAAGGTTTTTCTTTTGGGTTAGGTATATTTTTCCAGAGAGAAATCTTGTAGCTTTCTATTTCAGGTGGTAAAGAGTGGAGCTGCTGGAGTTCTTGGAGACAAGTGAGGGCAGGGAGCTGGGTATCATCTCATTTTGCAGTAGCCATAATTTCATTTCATCTCCCTGTTTTCTGTAAGGGATGTCGCTGCATTCCTGCCTCCAGAGATTTAGCTGGAAGTTTCACCTGCCTTCTGTACCCATTACTGTCATTTAGCATCCAAAACATACCAGTTGCCTATAAGCAAGTATCATATTCTTCAGATTCATTAATACTGATGATAATGGCATAGTATTATTTAATACCTATTTTATGAGGTAAGAACTATTATCCCACATGGCTACAACTTCAACCAGGTTCTACCATTATAATACTGTCTTACTTCATTGCTGAGACAAAATATTTGACACTCACAACTTAGAGGTTTATTTTGACTCACGGTTTGGAGAAGTTTCAGTCCACAGTTGGCTGGCTCTAAGGCAAGGCAGCATGGCAGACAAAAAGCAGAAAGCGAGAACACGAAGGAGAAAGACTGCCAGGCCCTGCTCCTAGTGACGCGCCTTCTCTAACCAGGCTTTACCTCCCACCATCACATGTGCTATAAACTAAATCAATTCAGACTACTCCACTGAGCAGTATCACGCCTCCACGATCTAGTCACCTCCCAAAGGCTCTGCCTGTGAGGCTTTGGGGGGGCTTCTACATATAAACTCTAACAAATACCAAGATTTCTCTCTTTTGACCTTTTCCCTCTTCATCTTTGCTCCTAGAGAAGTTTGTAGCACTGGAAAATGTTGGCAAAATTTTATTTTTTCCATTAATTGCTGTCTTTACAGATACTAAGCAATATTTTTTACTTGGACATCAAGAGAAACATTCAGTTTTCCATTTCCTTTTAGTAATGTAAACTTTCTTGTGGCTAGGCTGCTGGCTTACCTACCTCTCTCCAATATTCTTATGGCTACACATAGTAAATAGTAAAAGAGTACAGAATCCAAGAGAACCCACTGAGACCATAAGGCAGGTTAAAAACAGTGTGAATAAAAGAAACCTGAGGCTGATTAATTCACAAATCAGTCCACTGTTACCACTTTTTCCAGGGCTGCTTCTATTTGATTATGAAAGTGATGCAGAATGCACATAACGTTTTAAAAAAATAATTTAGCTTTCCTCAAACATTTCTAAAACTTGTTCTTACCCTTATATTATCACAGTAAAAATGATATTCTCCCATGTTTGAAGCAAAATAGCCTCTTGTGGTATTTTACATTTTGAGGCCTCTGATGCCACAAATAGTACTGGTTTTATTTTTTTGTTTTGTTTTGTTTTGTTTTTCCAGTACCGGGAATCGAACTCACGACCTTGCGCTTGCCAGGCAGGCATTGTGCTACTGAGCTAAATCCCCAGCCCCCAATAGTACTGATTTTACTAAGTTCTGTTGTACAAGTCAGTGCAGTTTAAGAAATAATTTGGCCAGCATGGGGGCACACACCTGTATTCCTAGCACTCAGGAGGCTGAGGCAGGAGGATCTCCGTGAATTAGAGGCTAGCCTGGTCTACAAAGTGAGTTCAAGGCCAGTGAACTCACTTAACTGCATAGCAAGACCCTGTCTTAAAAAAAAAAAAAAAAAAAAAGAGGGCCAGAGATATAGTTCAGTGGCACAAGCACCTGCCTGGCAAGCCCAGGGTTCTGAGTTCAATTCCTGGTACCAAATAATAATAATAATAACAGTTTATTAAATTTTTACTTCAGAACAATTGACCACTAAATTTTCTTTGTAAATTTGATCTAATACAGAAAATATATTATTCTACTTTTTAACCCTTTGCTTCAAAAAGATGGAAGTACATTATCTTTTTTCTTTCAAAAATGTATGAGGAATCCAAAAATGTAATCTTAAGTGTATCTAGGTTAGGATAATAATGCCCACCCCTACCCCATGCATACAATAGCTTGTTTACTCACCACAGAGTAAATAAAATGTTAGCAATACTGTTAATGTCTATATACTCCTGTCTCATTCCCTGATGGAAACTGTCAGGTCTGACCTGAGAGAGACCTCCCTGCTTCCCGCTACAAACAATAGACTGCTCTCAGCAAACAAGAATTGGGGGCTCCTGGTACCGGAGAAAAACCAAAAAAAAAAAAAAAAAAAAAAAAAAAAGAATTGGGGGCCATAGAGAAATTTAGGACTGGACCAGCAGTCTTCCTGATGCCAGCTGTGTATATACACCTGTGCTGATTGTCCTTGCAGCTTTGACTTCAAACATTCCATCCAGATTC